TGAATAGTACCTCAGGGTTTAGAGTTGAAATTAGGGTGTGTTAAGAGGTCTTGTTATGTTGAATTTTAACACGTTAGTGTTTTGATTGTAGGAGGAAAGTGTGGCACACGTAGACAGAAACACATTCGTGTTTGGTGTTTTTTACAACACATGTCAGAGAGCACGGGGAGAGATAATTAAAATAGTCATGAATGAAATAAGAATGTTAAGAGAAGTATAATTCTATATGTTACTTGCCATTTCATTGTGTAACATTTCATTAAACTAGTTTTCCTTCCAGATCTCTGGAAGGAACCAGATTGAATAAAAGCTCCTGTTTAGATGCAGTACAGATGAAAAAAAATTGTTGTATATCCTGGGAGCTGCTATTGTAAAAAAAAAAAAAAAAAAAAAAAAAAAAAAATTCTTTCTTTTAAATTTCTAGTTTCTAGCGAAGTAATGTTTGTAAAAGATTGGCCTCGCGTTAGATTCTAGAGCTAAAAGTTTTCAACAAGGTCGTTTTAGACCTCAGTTTCAAACTAATTAACTCTGGCGGGAAGTATGTAAGGATCTTAAGTTTTACTAACGTTTATTTTATTTTAAATCTTTACTATCACTTCTTATTTTCTACTTCCGGCCAGAATTATAAGCGTTAAGGTTTTTATGCAAAGTTTGTCTGGCGAACGCCAAGTATTTAAGTTGTGGCCTTTTGCCAAGCGAGAGAGAGGAAGCAGTTGAGTCAAAGCAGGCCGCTTACCTTAGAAGTTACGCAGTTGCTGTTTGCCTTCCAGGCCAGAGGTTTTAATCCTCTTGATAAACTTAAACGTATTGTAGTGTTCACAGTCTCTGTACTACATACGCTTCCTGTTATTATAAGGCCAATCTTCCACGTTTATTATTCTAAAGTTAAATTAGAGTTTAGTTTTATTTTTATACTTTTACGTTGGACCCCAAGCAGCGGGTCAGTGTATTCCGAAGTACGGAAGTTATTGTATATAGAGAAAAATAAAGGGTTTTGTATACCCTTCGTCTGTATCCTGTCTGCTTACCACAATTAGTGAACATAGCTTTAGTAAGCTCTCTGTTCCGAGTCAGGTCCTTGTATGTTCCCGAAGAAGGTAAGAAGGAACATTGACCCTGATAATATAAAATACGGAATCTAACTTTTTATTCATTCAATCTATTTGTATTGTATTGGTGGTGTATTGAGAATACGGCAAAGCGCACTAGGGCTATCTGCCTAAGCGGAGGGATGCTTTCGTGGAAGACTTTCTAAGGGGAACTGGCTCGTATACACGTTACACATGGAGAAAACCACGAAAACGCAAAACGCCCATGCACCCAGCCCGTTCGCGGGATTCGAATCTCGGACCGAACTACCAGTGTTCAGCGATTTTACCGCTCGGCCGCTGGTGGGCTCATTCAATCTAAGTATAGAAAAAAAAATTTTTTTCTAGTTCTAAAAATTCACAAAAGGTTTGACTTCTGTGTAGGTAACTAAAATTAAAATATCGTGTAGAAAAAGGTTTCTGATGTTAACGGATTATGTGATCTATGCAGGTTATTGCGAAAAATATTTATATATATACATATATATTTCAAATTAGGAATCTTATTTACAGGGTAATACAGATTTCGTGTTCTGGAAAATACTGGCATGTTTCATTATTGTCAAGTAGCCAACTCGTAATATTTTTCGTATTAATTAAAAATGAAAAATATTCGTATTTCAGTGATTTATTTTACAATTATCGAATTATGATTCTAAAGTGAAAAACCTCATGAGAATGTTAATAACATATTTTTAGACTTTGAAAACTTAATTACTTGTGTGGAGATTCTTTCAGCATATGTAAAAAATTATAAATAAAGGCATTAGTAAATAACAAAAGAATTTCGTTGACTAACATTTAAGGGGAAAACTTCAACCTCAAATTATTCTAATTTATATAGTAACATGCCTCTCAATGCAAGTTCAAAATGGCGTCAAATATCGTAAATTTTGATATTAAATACCTAAGTAAATTTTTGTCGTACGGTATTCAAATGTTTTGTACTACACTTTTTATGATGAGTGCAAAATTTTCCTAAATATCAAGTACAGGAATCGGATTAACGAGTAAAAGTTAGATTTCTTGTTTTATACAAAATTAATTTTTAAAATATAAAAAATACATGAATCTTTATGTCATTTAACACATTTTTGTAATTAGAAGTATTTATATGTCTGCAACCAACGGTTGCGAAAATAAAAGCCCGCGTATTGACTGTGGATACAGTGTATGTAGAACTAGTCCTTCCACTTGGGGAGGAAATAGCAATATTTTGTTCCGACAGAAATACAGAACAGTAAATGCTGTGACAGCTGATTAAAAGCAGCAATACGCAATTATTTAATCAATGCTTAATCATAAATTTTTAACATTTGACTATTTTCTAGTCAACTATACTCCTTCAGCAGGCAAGATATTGAGGACTGCTCAAGTATCGCTAATTATTCAGCTCTAAGAAATTGTTTTCTTACTAGTTTTAATTTTTAAATATTCTGTTATATACCTTCCGGGCAACGTCCCTCTTACTGTATCTGTTATATACCTTCCGTTTTGCACAACCCTCTCCGAGAATATACGTATGTGGTTTTGGAAAATATCTGAAGGGATCGAACAGAGTCGAACATAAGGGATAAGGGATAATAATTTAAATATTACTTCGTGATTAAACATGTTTGAGAACGAATAAGGCCAGTTAACATGAGGTTTACTTATGGAACCTATTTCCATTATAGCTGGTTCGCCAATATGGAAATTTTCCTGTGGGAACATTGAAAAACTCTAGAATCTCAGGGAATTTGACCTGCATCCTAAGAGAGTTACTAATAAATGTGTCTTTTCTGATAAATGAATTCTCCAGCACTTCTTTTTATAAAAAAGTCTGATGTGTTTGTTCACCACATGATTTCCTCGTAGGGAATATTAAATTATACGCATATTTCCTGCATTTCATTTAAACTTAGCTCATCGAATTTCATTAGCGAAATATTTCTCATTCAGTTAATTCAGTTCTCACTTCGCGACAAGGCAAAAATACAGGAAACCCCAAAATATCTTTATTAAAAATTGAAAAATATAGGAAAATATAAAACATAAATACAGTTAAAACACTTTAAAGAACAACTTTTACAATTAAATTTAGAGTTTCTACGCAAAAACAAGCCAATCGGCCAGCGGGCTAGAAGGCAGATTTTTCAGTGCACAAATTTGAAAGTTTACTTTTGGTCTCACTCGACAAAAAGACACTGAAGGCGTAGAAATTAATTTAATTTATTGCGGACACTATGCTTAGTCAATACATGGGATAATTTAAAAACTTAACTGTTAATTCCAGAATGGATTAATCATGATTTAATTCGCAATAATAAAAAAAGACGTTATCTTTGTTGTTGGGAAGCTTGGTTTCTCTAGATTGGCAACAAATCTACTATTCTGCTAAGTTCCACATGTAAACAAATATGGCTTCTATGGTAAAAGACTCAGGCTTAGCCGCACTTAAACAACTTTTAAATTGCCGATAATTCTACAACAATAACATGCAGATTAGCTAAAGTCATAAAAACCTTAACCGGAAGATAAGAACAACGTATTTCAATCATTTCACGTATGAACGTACGTACAGGCGCATCGAAAAAATTCTCTTTTGAATCTATTTTAAATTAGTTTTATAATTCGTTTTCGGAAAATTGTCTTTTATTCTGTCCTTATGTACAGATGTTAGGCAAAAACATCATTAAATTGCATTCAATAGCAATAAAAATGAATAGTTTCGTTGAAATATGGTACCCGAAATTTTTCGTGATTACAATACTTCCTTTACTTCGCACAAGGAAGTAAAAAATCAAACTAGGAATCCTCCTGAATGTCTTCATAGGGGATTTGTTGCGATTTCTTTTGTATTTTCCGGTTCAAGGAGGATGTGGTAAGAAAGGCCTCATAGAATCCATGATGTTTTAAAAGAATTATTTCTCCGTTAGAGGATTTAGCTTCGAATTAAAAAAAAATGCTTTAAATGGAATCACAACTAGCTACCAGTTCCCCTGATAACCAGATCCTTTGTGTTAAGGCATTGGTATAATTTTCCAACTTAAAAAAAGTGCTGGCTGAATTCAAAACATCGGGCGAATAATTATAGAAAACGACTTTAAAAAGTGGCCAAAATCCAGCGTACCCTTATTACTGATGTCGTTTTGTTCTCAGTTTTACAGATTCATCAGAGTGTGATTCTTTTTTTTCTTTTTTTTTTCTTCTTGTAAATATACATAATGATATGGACTTTTCGTTATTATGTATTTAATGGTGAAAAATTTGTTATATCTTTTATAAATTTCTAAATGAAATTCAAATGATTTGTTCAACGAATAAATTAACACAATTTATTATGTACATAAATTCAAGCATAAAATTGGACAACAGACATTTACTAGGTATCAAACGATCTAAAGGTATGCCAGCTTTATAAAATTTCACGCAGTGCTGGTGCTTGTTTGTTGGAAATCAATACATTAAGTGGTGAAATTTATTAAAAAATATATTGCTAATGCTTACGGAAAGATACACTAGTCTTATTTAGAATTTTAGTTATTTGTCTCTTAAGATTACTAAAGCACTTGCCTATTTCGTTTTTTTAATACTTTGGTTTTACCGCAAGCACAAAACACGACTTAAAAATATTAAGTGTGCAGAGAGAAGTTTGTGTTAGTGTAATATTTCTTTATAAAATGGCAGAATATTCTAATTTTCTTATATGTAGATACTTACTTTTTTTTAAGAAAGAGGGAGAGAGAAAATAAGGCTTCTTACTTCGCCTTTGATTTAGAATATTAATTTCAATTTAATTTGATACGTTGTAGTTTCTTAACAAATATTCTTACGCTGAAGGCTGTTTCTATTTATAATTCTTTCATACAATGTTTAAAAGTTAAAAAAAAATGATAGAGAGAGAGGTGTAATGCATGCAGAATGACTTACCGATTAACTGAAAGCCTTTTCGTACTGTAGTAGGGTTGAAGTTTTTCTTCGAGCGAAGATAATCCGATGCAAATCCAGATAGAAAGAGAGTTATGCAAATGCAGACATAAATTAAAGAATTTACCACTCCGTTCTGTAAATATATATTAAGCAAAATAAGTTCACTTTAATCGAGAAGTACTGAAACTTACTTCGATTTTTCTAAATTTCGTTTCGACACTTTTATCGTCTAGAAAATGAGGTTTGGCTAGGTTGATAGTTATTTAAAGGCAAAGGACATGAGAGTTATCTATCAACCTAAGGGAAGATATGCCTTCGTTCAGGACTTTCTAGGGAAAATAGTTCTTATTCACGTTATACATGTAAGAAACCACGAAAACCAACCATGCAGCTAACGCGTTCGCCTAAAGATCAAACCGAAGTCGAACTCCCACTACGCAGTGGTCGTAACCACTCGATCACTGATGAAGTGATACGGTACAGTGGTGCCTCGTGTGCGCTTAACAAACCGAAAACTCTCCTGCATGGTAGGCTTAGTTTCGTATTACTCAACGAATTTTGTTACATAATAATTATGGAGCTAAATTTAATCTACTTTCTGTTTTAACGGTAAATAAACAAAAGACGGTCTGAATAAACAAAGACAACCAGCAGAGGAGCGGGCAAGTAAAATATTTCTTAATATTGTACTACAAATTGCTGGATAAGATAAGAGTTGCAGTCTTCGACCCTATAATTTCCGATAGTTGATATCCATGCTCGTTTAGCCAACTTCGCGTGATGAGTGTTAGTGATGAGTGTAGCTTTAGGCTGCTGGCCTGTTTGAAATTAAATTTTAAATTTGTTTTACTTTAAGTTATCTCACCACTAGTTGTTGGCTGAGTTGTAAGCACGAAGTGTGCCTTTTGTTCTTATTTTTTAAATAAAGGGTCTTTTACACCCTTCTAAAGTTTCAGTTGTTACTTAATGATAATTCGCTACCATTCTGTATATAGTTACAGTTTATGATTGTCAAGACGTTATCTAAACTTTACATAGTAATTAAAAAAAGTAATGTGAAAATGCTAATAAAAGGCAAAGTTAATCTAAAAATGTTAAACATTAAAAATATTTAGAATTTAGGTAGCAAAATGTTCATTATGCTATCCTGATTTAAAAACAATATGTTTGTACTTTTGGGTACAAAATTAGAAAAGATATTCGAGGACGAATTGATTTGAGTGATTTCTCCATGCCATTTATCGAATTAAATCCGCGACTTTTTACAACAAATCTAGGAAACGAACTAAATAAAATTAACAAAATAAACGGTTTGACGATAGGTAGCTTTATTTTGAATAAAATAACACTAATTTTTAAATGTATAGCTAACTACTTTATTCGACTAAAACATTTTACAAAGTTTAACTTATTAAATTCACACTTTTAAATAAATACAAATAATACATATGATAAAGTGCAATTAAATTTTGATACTCTTCTGTTATCGGGACCGGATTCTGAAATGTATGTATGTACATGAGTATATGTGTGTGTACATACACATACCATACGTTACCTACATAAATACATGCATACACGAACACGTATATCCATCCATACATGCATACATAACATACATTTCTGAATCTGGTCTTGATAACAGAAGAGTATCATTCATCCGGTAAAACTAATAAAATTTCGACTTTTTATTTATTTATTTATTTATTTATTTTTACTTCTACTAAATAAATTTATTCCTCAAATCGCTTTTTTAGCTTACGAATTTTATGAAAATTTGAGTTTCCGTCTCTAATATTGGTTTCTGCAACTGAGGTGCATCATGTAAAACTTAAAGAACGTTTTCATTTAGTTATTTTAAAATTAATTGCCACAATGGCATAAATGTTAGTAAAATTTGCCGCCTTTGACGCATTTCGATAAATCATGAACATCTGAGATACAAATGACGGGTCCATGATGCATGGAAGGATATCGTCCTATTTTGCCTGGAAAAGAAAATCTCGTAAAATGAAACAATTCTATATGAAATGAAAACTACAGTAGTAGGGATAAAAAAGGAAAAAAAAAAAGGAGTTTCTTGATTAGTGCTTTTTGAAGTCTACATAATGGAAAATGATACAAACGTTTCTAATAATCAAATAACATCTTCTAATAATATTAGTTAATATTCCAAGTAATAATATTATTGATGTTCCAGTAATAAATTTAGTATTATAAGTAAAATATTAGTCAATATTGCAATAACAAATATATGACTAATAAATATCGGATATAGAACTTGTACTGTGGAGGCAGACTTACTTTTTGAATTGGCACATGTAGCACCAGTTCTAGATATGTTGGAAGCTTGGTCAGTAATGTCGTATGGCCCCATGCTGCGCAAAATGTGACAATTGCAATGGACCATACTGGGGGACTGCAAAGAATTTGCTTCCACGGCACTGGTAACTGTAACCACAAAATATTAGAAATTTGTGTTGCTATGGCATCAGCTGTCACTTTTAAAAGTAGATCACTGTATAGTTGTGAAAGCTTACTTTTTGGTATTCTCCTATTTGGATTTGGCCTTTCAGTATGTAATCTACCTCTTCCTTCGAAACTCTTGGATGATCGGCGGGTTTACTGTAAGCCAGACAACACCAGAAAATAAACCATATACAGCCTAAGATACCTGAATAAATAAATAAATAAATTATTATTTATACCTGAATGATGGAAGGACACAAAAAAGGGGAGGGAGGCAGATGCTTCAGATTCTATTTTTAGGGTCTCTAAATTTTCCTATATTAATTAAAATATGTAAAATAGTACATATAGATTTTTAATTTTTAAGTATTTATATGTTTAATTAGAAGAAAGAATAGAATCTAAATTTAATATTTTATTCTTTTGATTTTGATCAAAACTTGGCCATTACTTAATATCATCGAAAGGAATGATTTACGACGTGTAGAAAATGAATTTTTTAATTTTACGTTTTATATATAAACTTGATTATTCACTCAATTAACAAATTAAATCAGATTCAATAAATAATTACTAATTTCATCTTATTTCTGAAATTTAAGTAATTAAGGTTTGTAATCAATAAGAAACTTTAGTTGCATCTCTTTTTCTAGTTTTATCCCCCTAAAAAAATAGAACCTCGTTTAGAATATATTAGTTTGTATTTTAATAGCTGTACTACACGAAACCCATGGCAACAAAGAGCGCAAAAAGGCGAAATACATAAGTAACAAAAGCTTTCGGGCCACAATTTGTTTTTCTTCTTGCAATATGCTTTGGCAGAAGCAGTTGAGCTTTAGGCTTAAGCATCTTATGTTTAGGCTTAGATTTAAGTTTAAACATCTTCGTTACCTTCGAATATTCGTGAATGATTTTACTTTACAGTTCCGTAAGACGTTTTCAGTTCTGATGCAATTAGGCCCTCACCAAGCCTAATCGGCGCCGTCGTGCAAATGTATAGTGAGCTCCTTTATGCAATGACGATGATATTAGAGTGAAATTGTTTACGGTTAACACTTAAAATGAAGTATTATTGACATAATAATATGAAAAACCAAAAAATTATATTTTGTCTTTTAGTTTTTCTAAATGTGCAAACATTTTGCGTTTTGTTAAAACAAAACCCACTGTAACATATGCACTCCTCTGATACACATGTGCTTAATGGGAGGAACTTCCTGTTTTGTTCAGAGACTAATCGTCAGTTAGAACTTTGAGAAAAGGTGTTGCGGAAATCCCCTGGTGCGGTTTCCGGACATAAGGGACTTGGTAATTACCCCATTCCAGTTTTGCCCATAAGACTTTTAACAAAACCAAAGAGAGGGATTTGTGTGTGAACGTTTTATGTAGTGAAAGACTCGGAAGAAGACGCAATCCAGCGTCGTGGCTGCATCCAGCGGCCATTGTGTGAATTATGGCTGTAATGGTTGATTATGTTATTTAATAGCAATCAAGAAATTCTTATTAAGTTTTTAAAATAAATATTTAAAAGAAAAATAAATATTTAAAATTTATGTTCTTTTCTTTCACCCAACACGGGTGTTCAGACGTTCAACCACTTTCAGACATATTTATTGAAGAATTATACATATATTTATATTATAAAAAATAACATTGCAAGGGAAGCAAAGTTATATGTTTAACGCATTGAATGCAAAATATACTGCTTAACCCTATTTGCTATCTTAAAATAAAAAACAAATTAATTTATGTATCTAATGAGTTCAATATTGGGAAATATAAAGAGAGATATGAAGAAGTTTAGATAAATAAATAATATTTAATTTTAATTACTTATTAACATTAATTTATTAATACATTAAGGGTTAGGTCATTTATGAAGTTTTTAAAAATTCCATAAAGCTAATTAAAAATACTAACTAAAGGGGCAATTGTATGGCATAGAAACTGGCTGAGAAATGGCAAAAAGTACAGTTTTTGTAATGCATTTTAGATTTAAAGTCTTAAAAAATTTAAAACGCATTTTTCTCGACACTATGTTTCTCATGTTGATATACATTGTATATTATTTAATTTTGATCTGTTTCATTTCAAACTTTGTATGCGTATTCTCAGACACATTATGCCTTGAGACAATTTATGTCTCAAGGATCACAAAGGTGTACGTAAATTGATTCTGCAGAAAATGAGGGTCCCAATTCAAGGACGCTATTTTTGGAATATTTATTTGATTTTCAAAAAGAAAAATATTGTTTCTAAGAAGTTAAATAAAATCGATTTGCGCTTGTTTTGAAAGTAACCCATCCAGCAATCTCGAAAGCTGAATCTACCTTTCAAGCATCTCAAGTGGCCTAAGTCCTTAAATCCATTTTCACATAAATTGTGTTCGATCATACATAAAAAAAGCATATAACAATAACTCACACATAATAAACAAATGAACTGAAACAAAATAATTTCAATATTTAGCAGGAGTGAAATTACAGAAATTGGAATTTTCGGGCTTTGTTTTTCGAAAATCGATTTATAAGTAAATATATGTCTAATTTTTATAAAATATCACTTTTAATGGAAATAATTGCAAGATTTGCCAATCTTTATTGACCCATGGTAGATCTGAGGTAATTTTTAATTATTTTCAATTTTGAAAATGACCTCTCTGCTGTAGTTAGTGAGACTGGAATTGTTAATAAAATATGTAAAGTAATATAAATTGTTAGGAAAAGAGTGAGTTAAATTATTGACAACTATATAGCTTAGAATTTCAACCGACGATGCTACATTTTCTCCAAAAGTTTGCAAAAATTGTGGTTCATGCATAAGATCTACACTATTTATATCGCTTTGATTTTTATCAATTGATGCTTTTTGCAGTTTTTGACATAAATTGAGCTGATCTTGTTCAGAGTATTGATTGAAATCAGAAATATTCCACAAAAATTTAAAAACTTCTGAATGAGAGAGAAAAAGAGATCAAACCTTTTACTTCAACATCTAGAAAAAATAAATAAATAAATAAATAAATAAATAAATAAAAATAAAAAATAAAAACTTTAAAATTTACTTCGTTCTGTATAGGCTGGTCTTATAAAATAATTGTTGTTTTTATTATTACTTTCAGAGGTCTTAATGTTTCTAGGCTTTTAAAATTTGTGTCAACATTTAAATAAGATGCCAATTATTTACTTTCGGTGAGCATATCATTGAAGCCTTTAACAGATCTATAAACTTGATTACATATCTGATAAAATATGTTATAGATCTGATAAATTTCAGCCTTTCTGAACCTCATATAAAGTGATATCTGCTCTTGATGGCTAGCATCAGGGGTACAATCAAGTTTAAATTATTTAAACTTTCAGAAGTCTGAGAAATATTAAAATTTTTAGTTTGGAGAATATTGCTAAAACATTAATTTTTTCAGTATTTTATACCATAAAACTACCATACATATAAAGTTAAATTTTTGAATTTTTCTCCCCTAAAAGATGTGGCTTGATTTTTTGTAATGTTATAAATTTTTTTTTTCGGTTGTTTCATAGAGGGCATCAAAATCCTCTCCTAATCGAAATTTTAACGGGGTTATTGCATCTATACGGACAGATCGACCACCTCGTATCTGACAAAGGTTTCAGTGTTAAATTTTAAACATGCCTTTTTAAAACAGATGAGAAGATTAGCTGAAATCAAAAAAAATTATAAAGCACTTGGAAAAATATATTGTTGTTCGCAGCGTCGTTTATGACAAGGTTCAAACTCTGATTATAACATGGTACAAAAAATGCTCTAGCCAAAATTCTTTTGTGCACACCGATAGGTTTACCTCTCCTGTTTGAACGATTTTTGTATCCTTGGCCGCAAAAATTATTAATATCTAGACCATTTTCCACTAAAGTCTTTGATAAGACTGTGTTAAGTCCTTCAGCGGTCGTATCTGTTGCAGTACAAAATGCTAAAAACCTTTCTTCAATAGTCACTTCTGTATTTTCTAAATTAAGGTACCTCATACAAACTGATATCTGCTGTTGATGGCTGGCATCAGGGGTACAATCAAGTAAAACAGAAAAATACTTTGCTTGTTTGATCTTATCTATAATAATTTGTTTGTATTATTCCCTAATAAGATAATTGTTTAATTTTGAAATTTATGTCAGAGGTAATGAGGCATATTTGTTTTTACTTTTATTAATATGTACAGACATGATAGGGTCAAATCTTGCGATAATTTCTATACAAATTAAAAAATTACCATTTTTTTCTTCCGAATAATAGGTTACTGGAACCACAAAAGACTAAGTTTCTGAATGGCATTGAATCAGTTTAAAACTGAATGGCATATATAATTCTTTCAAAAACATCGCGCCAATGCTTAGTTCTTTTTTTTTTTTTTTTTTAATAAATTCTGAAATTCCGAATTAACAGTTTTATCCTTTCGTAGTCGGTCTAAGAAACCTAACTAAAGATATAAGTTCCGGAAATGCATTTTACTTTTTCGTGAAGTTTTAAGTGCTTACTCAAGTGGTTTCAGCCATTAAAACCAGAACTACTCAATTTTACGTTGCTAAAATCGTTAAAAATTTTGCAACAAAAACGATAAACAGAACTCTTTTCAACAGAACACAACAAACAATCCCTTTTAACTCTTATATTGTTAGCAAAATTCAACAAAAGTACATCTCAGAAAATTTACGTCCATTTTTGTTTTTTGGTAAACTAAAACTAGGTTACTAAAACTAACTATGGTTTTGATAATATCTGGGATCATTTTTCTAAGTACTTGGGATGGCAATAATGGACTTGGCCATAATCCGGGATCATCATGCACGGGCAAATGCGTATCTACTGCAGAAAATTGTACATTTTACTATTATTTGCGATACTATTTACTTATATGCGATTCTATTCAGCTAAATTGGAAATAGCTAGGATTTCTAGGTGCTTTTTTCGTGACACATCTTTGCATCTTTCGAATGGCGAACCTTGTAATGTACTCTTTTCTAGATCACAACTTCTTCCTAACTCACCTCATGCGGCTGCAGTTGCAACTTTTAGAATGTTAACTGGGCACGAATGCCTCTGTGCTCATCGTTTTCTTTTAACATTGTGGACTGTCCTACTTGAACAAGGATATGACTGAACAAGATATGGCTGCTTGGACGAGTGCCCTGTACTATCTGCTCTTTCTTGTTATGTAGCGAGATGGAAAGCCTGTTGTCTAATGACCTAGCGGCCAAACGACAGGCATTTGATAAATAAAATAAAAGATTCTTCTATTATTTCGTCTGATGTTTTGACCAACGGCATTGAAGGGAATTCCCGGGTAAAACTACTTTCTGATTATTAGGTTCCTTTTAGCAAAATTTCGGTAATTTCAGTGGTAACTGAGACGCTGATGGACAACTAGTGCTGGTAGCTTGAGCTTGGGTATTCTCTGGGTTTTGAAAAAACTGAGTATTACGTCTTCCTCTCGCTTTCATTTCTTCAAAAAATCCTGATACGTAGACAGTTTTTTTCTGTTTTTCTTCCGACATCTGGGAAAACGTGAAAGTAAAATAAAAGAAAATAACTGTATAATAACTATTGCGTAAAACACTTCTTAAAAACATTCGGAAAGTCACTGTTTGAAATATTTTACCTTACTTCTGAAAAACTGAGTATATATTAAACCACTGCTGAAAAAAAAAAAAAAAAATATGAGCTATTAGATCAATACCAAATAATTCAAGGAGCTGGTGGTACTCTTTTGTTGATTAAGATAAATAAATAAAATTTAAAGTATGTATCTAAGACGTAATGAAATAACGAAACAATTTTCTTCGGTTTTCCATATAGCTAAAAATGAGAAAATGATCAATTTTTAATTTCAGAACACCTTGTATATTTTTATTTCAAATATGTATATTTTAAATTCAGTGATATTCCGTAATATGTCAATCTTTTCTTCTCTAAAACTAATAATTTTTAATTTAATAAACAAATGGTTCATGTACAAAAACATTTTTCAAGTAATTATACTCAAATTGTTGCTTTTCTATATTAAAAAGCTAACCTAACTTCAACATAATATGTAACAAAACGTACCTTTTTTTTATGTAGAATAACAGTTACAACAAGCAATTACAAATAAATAAATAAATAAATAAAAATAAAAAAATAAACGTTGCACAAATTATTACGATTGCAACAGAAGATACAAAATAAGGATTAAGCAGTCTATCGAACGCGTCTAGAGCTAAAGCGTCTACCCTTTAATACGCATCGGCATCACGTATTTTTAGGTTCGAACAAGACAATTTTCCTGTTTATACAGGCAGCGAAACGGACTGCTTGTTTTTGACTACCCCGAGCCTTTTTGACTCGGCGCCGTCTACACCGCAAGACCCTGCACCTATTGACGGCGCGGGCATGGATGCAATGGATATTTGGAATTTCTTTCAGGATCAGAGACTCACTTTTTCATATTTATCCGCTTTTGAACAGTCGTAGGACCAATTTGAGGCCATTTTTTTTTTTTTTTTTTTTCATTTTTACTTTCAGCTAGACACTTTCTCAAATTTAATATATTAAAGATATTTAACTATAAACAATCATAATATTATAATAATATGTTATTAGCCCAAAGGGGTAATTTTCCCAGAAGGGCTATTAATTTCGTTTCGGCATTTTGGGTCACTATAAATGTCGGTTCATTTTTCAAACTGTTTCCAGCAAATATTAGAGCCCTGTATCATATTTAAAGAAATTAAATAATAAAGAATCTGCATGAATGTATGTGCGTTTCTCGCATTGTGAAAAAACAACGGTACTTACAGCCATCGAATTTTGAATAACGAAATTCGAATTCTCCATTCGAATATGGGTATTTGGAAGCCCAAATTTGGAATTTGTTATATTATAGATTTCATATTTTATCAAACATTAAAGAATTTTTTATTAACAAATTCAACGATTTCAAAGCCAGCAATGGCAACATTGTACGAAACAAAACCCCACAATTTTATCTCCAGCACGCGAGACTGTGTATCGGAAATTCTAAAGATATGCTCTTTTAAATATTTTGTGGTATTGCTGTGCTGGTGAATTTAATTTTATGATTTAAGTGCGAAGAACTTGATATTAAATAAGTAAAGGTAACATATAAAACGTTAAAAAACGCCCCTTTGGGCGTAAGATAAAATCTGAAAGCTTTCAGAATTTTCTTAATAATAATATCTTTGCAATGCAATGGCCTAGATTTTTACACCGCTTTACAATTTGTTGATACGCATAGTTTTCCTCGGAAAGTGCGTCTGTGTAACCTTTCAGCCATCTCTCAACTTTAGGACCCATTTCAAAAACAAATCTCTCATTCTGCATTCCAGTTAAAACAAAATAGGAGCAGACGATTAGATTTATTTAAAAATTTATTTTTGAAATAAAAGGTTTATGCCAAACCTTTTATTTCAAAATGCTACGAAAATAACATTTTGAAATAAAAGGTTTGGCATTTAAATAGAAAATTGTTTTCATAAAATGCGAATGACCTTTTTTAAATAGGCTTTGCTTGGATGAACTGTATTTCACCAGGGTAGTAGGGTTGTATGTTTATTAACCAGTTATATTATATTTTGCCTTTAGCACACCAAATTGAAACACTCCAAAGTAAACAAGCACACCAAAGAAAGAAACATGTCAAAGTAAAACATAAAATTAGGCACGGACACAACCTTATGCTTAGCGTAGATTTTTGTCAAGACGATTTCAATTCAATTTCGAGGCAAACAGGTACAGGTCGCTCTTCACCAGGAGCAAAGAAATCTGAAATTTATAGAAGTTGATTGGTTAACGAAGCCTCATAAAGTTACTTATCTGCCTTCTTATTTTTTGAATTTAATAGAGGATTTTAGTCCTTGTGCAAAAATAATCTCTCACCTTCGAAAAAGCTGCGGAAAAATTTAAATATCACCAAATATCTCCCTTAGAATATATGTGCAAAAAATCTGAAAATAAAATTTCTCTCCATTTTAAAATGTTTTGCTCTTTTACGGAACAAAACAAGTAACTATAAAATACTAGAAATTTTCTCTAAGTGTCTTCATTTAAGTTATCCTTGATAAAAAATTAATGTTGATAAGAACGTACTAGAGAGAAGTTTTATTTATCAAAATTTACAAAACATATTTATTGATTAATTTTATATAATTAATTATATCAGCTATAAATTAAAATAGTTTTACCTAATACATAGAAGACTGAAGGCCATCCTCCAGCAAATCCATTTTCGCACAGGTATCCGGCCAAAGGCATAGACAGGACAGTTCCTACGTGATCTCCCATTATGCAGAGGGCCAGCAGAGTACTCCTTTCTTCAACTGGAGCCCAGTGGGCGAACATGGCAAATGCTGTGGGCAAGCAAACACCCTAATTGTTTGAAATGAGCCTTTGGTTAGCAACGTTTGGATGTTCAGCTTTTAGAAGAAAAAAGGGGAAAAAAAAGAAAAAAAGTAAGGCTCACGAATATGATGACGAGATTTCTTTGTTTTGCTTTAACCACTGGGAATCAGTGACGCAACATGGTTATGAAGATGCTAGATTCCGTAATGTAAAACAGCTGATAATTAATAAATGGCAAAATTTATCTTTGTATGGAATTATTATCAGTTGAAAGGAGCTATGTATTTCAAGACCGAAAAATGCTGTTTTATGTCTGTAAAGCATTTGCTGAACATCTTGGAAATCCATCTTCAATAAAATGGGCATATTCGTACATACTTTTGGGGTATTTTCAACTATGCTTTGAACTTACTACAAACAGTTATGGACTATGTTAAGTAAAGGAAATTATTTATTAAATTTTTCTTATCATACCCATGTGAAGAAAATAACTGTAAAATATTTGAAAAGTTTAAGGTAACTACAAATACAAAGCAGCTGGAAAGAATAAGCTAGATGCTATAATGTCATTGTCAGATTTTATTAAAGTACGAAACTGCCAAAGCTAACGGTATTGAAAATGACGGAATTTAGTATCTCTAACTTGTTTCTGTAATTTTTACAGATGAATATTTAAATATTTACAATACAGTGGATATTAACTGTATTATTCAAATTTTTGCTATAGAATTATGCCCTATACAGATTTTTTATCATTGTTGTCCTGTCCTACTTCCTTTTTAGGAAAAAGTTCATATTTCTATAGTCTTAAGCTTATGCTGGCAGCTAAAAATGCATTTTATTTCGTATTTACTCTGAAATGGTAGAGAGTAAGTGCGTTATGATACTTGATTAGAAGTGATTAAGTTACTAAGATCGTTATAATCATGTTAAGTTATTAAGAAAACATTTCGATTATCAAGGTCATTCAGACGAAAAGGTGTAGAGACATTAGGATATTTTTTGAAAGCAGAAGAGATGAAAAATGAGCAATGACCTCGCCGGAAGTCGAACCACGGACCTCTCGAAAATGTGCCGAGCGTGCTGACCACTACACCACGAAGGCATGCTAAGAAGCCAGGAGAAATACCTTATAAAGGTGTCTAATTGTACAGTGTTGTTTAGAGATGCAGAAATTTATAATGCGCATATTTGGTTAGACGTGACAGTTTGAAGGACTTTTTCGAGGATCGCATGGTTGATGACTTTTTTTCAAGTGGGTTTTTCAGTAACTGCGATGTAAAAAAAATCTGATATGGACTCCACATGGCTACCTCATACGGCTTATTTAAATTACACATATTTTTTCATGCACTTTATTTAAATTTATTTCCTCTAATTATTTTAACTTGAATAACTGATCCATAGAGGCAGTTTGAAAATAATTGTAAGTATAGAACTGGGAGACCGCATTAAGCATTCGTTATTTCTCCTTTAGGAGATAATAATGATAATGCCATTTATGGCATTATCATTATTATTATTTTAATTCGACATTTCGAAAACAAGAATATTTCCGTCATTTAAAGCACTTTTGTAATTGGAAGTACATTACTACGACCAACCGGGGACTTAAGGGTGGGTGTATATATATATATATATATATATATATATATATTATAAATTTAATATTTTTTAAAATATATATATATTTAAAAAAATTTAATTTAAATTTTAACCAAACACGTATAAAAAAGTAAAAAAGCAAATTTAAAGCCCAAAATAAAATTAAAAAATAAATAAATAAAAATAAAAATAAATAAATAAATATAAATAAAAAAATAAAAAAAATGTTCAAACATATAAAAGATTTAATTTTCGAACTAATCTACAATATCATTTAAATTCAGAAGCATAAGCAAATCAAGTGCAAAACCAATCCATGAAAATAAATTCACTAATTTAGCAAATTAAAATTAATCCAAATAATTTTTTAAAAAATGCATTATATATATATATATATATATGGTGTGTATGTGTACTTTTGGTGCTGCCGATCGCAATAAAAAGGGAGGTGCAAAACTACATTAAAAATGTCAACATGTCAACGTTCTACGGCTAATAGTTTTTGACTGATGCGAGATACATACATAAGAACGTACAGACGTCACGAAGAAAATTCCCCTTTGAATCCCTTTTACGATCCGTTTTAGAAAAAAAAAAAAAAAGGGTTAGGGGTTAGGGTTATCCAATTATGGCAAAGCACACGAGGGCTATCTGCCTAAAGGGAGGGATGACTTCGTGGAAGACTTTCTAAGGAACACTGTCTCGTATACACATTACACATGGGAAAGAACACGAAAACGCCCATGCAGCCAGCCCCTTCGTGGGATTCGAACCTCGGACCGAACTACCAGCGTTCAGCGTCTTTACCGCTCGGCCGCTGATGGACCCATTTAGGAAAAAAAAAAAAAAAAAAAAAAAAAAAAAAGTTTCCTATTTTCTGTTCACATCTACAGACGTTACGCAAAAGGCCTTTCAAATGGATTCCGGAACGGTCAAAATAGATACTTCCGTTGAAATATGATATCTGAAATTTTTCGCGGTTACAGTACTTCCTTTACTTTGTACAAAGGAGTAAAAAGTGAAAGCAGAAATGCAGTTATAGTGATGCTAATATGCTATTAGTACTTCGCGCGCGGAAAAAAATAGGAATAAAATGTAGCCTTGTTAAAGTGTGAGTTAAAGCTAAACTGAGAGGGAATCCGCGAAAGGTATACCGTAAGTAATGCAGGAGAAAAAAAAACCTGCGCATTGTACATGTGCATGAAAAAGTGGCATAAGCATTAAAAAAGAATGAATTGGCATCTCGTAAATAGCCTACACTAAAAGTAACTGAAAATTAGATTTTGAAAATTTTTTAGAGCAGTGACTTCTTTGTGTGTGCTGTAGTGACGAAATTACGTGATACCTATATCGAATCTAACTATCACCTAAAGTCGAAAGATAAGAACTAGCTTTACGCTTAACGCAGTAACCTTTATAAAGTAGAAATCCAAAGGTTGTGCGTTCAAGTGAAAAAGTACTTTGGTAACTATACGGAACGTCTTTAAATGTCTGGATAACATAAAGAGTTTAGAGCTTAATACCTTTTCATTTGAATGACTCTTGCACCTGGAGTTCAGTTTATTTTTATTGGACATAAGAATAGTATGTAAAAATTTAAGAGTTTGATGGGAAATCAACTTACATGAATGAGTCCCATAGCCACTCGCACGAGTACGATGGCTACCACTCCTATATCGGCGGCAATCGGGGTAAGAAATGTCAGTAGAGAGCCAAACAAGATCGATAATCCTAATGGCCACTTGCCTCCTGCTACTTCAGCCAAGCGACCACCGACCAGCTGAGTACATACGAAGCCATAAAAGTAAGCTCCTAAGATCAGGCCTTGTATGGATGGACTCCAGATATACTCGCCCTTTGGGTAAAAAAGTTCAGAATCACGAAGCATCAATGAATTTCGATTTTTTTTTAAAAATTTTTATTCTTAATTTGGCAACCGGTCAAAAACATGCTTCTTGACGGCCTTTAGCAAATCAGATTAAAATTTAAAAAAACATTATTTTACTTTTCAGCCTGTTACACCGAAAAGAATGTTCACCAAGCACTTCGTATTTCAGCTCATGAAGACGTGATTGGTGATGTCATATTTGTTAGTCGTGTATATTCTATGATTTTCGATCACGTTGAAAACAGCAGAATTTGTTTTCAGAAGTAGGTAATGAAAATAAAGGCAAAGAATTGGAAAATAGGATGAGGGAATGAAAGGAGCTATAATAAGAACTCGTAGATTCTTTATCACACTGTTTCCAGTCTTTTTCTTAGTGCCTTCAAGAATATGCAATGTTATTAAGAATTCATTATTCTTAAAATACACAATCTAAGATGAAAAGGATTCATTCTGTAAGAAAAAGAAATTATTATACTCTTTGCTCACGGCAGTTAAAATATTCGTAATTAAAACTGAACTAATTGAGATTTAGGGGAGAAAAAAAAAAAAAGATATGTTTTTTTATAAAAGTCCAAAAGGATTCTATAATAAACAGTTTCTAAAGCAAAGAAAGAAAGCAACGTGATAGAATGTTTTGATAAATTGCTCTTAATATTATCAAATCGGGCTAATACGTAATACTCTTGACTGATTAAAAAATGTCAAATTAAGCAGGGGGATTCTAAGGCGGTGTGAAAAATACTGATTGTTAATTTGATTTTTTCATTAAACTCAATCTTTGATCTAGAGATAGAAATAAACATTTCTGTACAGACATATAATATTTACTTAACAGGATAGATTTGTCTTTGGTACATACATATCATTTTTACTTCATTTTAAAACAGATATAGATTTGTCTTTGGTTATATATAGAATTAGAAATATTTTTTTCATCTCCTTAATCCTTATTGTTATTTCATTCGTAAATCGATTATAACTATTAATATAAATATACTTTCTAATTTTTATTTTGTTAGTTATTATGGTTTGTATGGATTTCGTTTCCATTGCGCCTATTTCATGACAAATTCAGACAATTCTTTACTTCCGTAATTTGAGCTGTTATTTCTCATGTTTTATTTTCTATTTGAAAAAGTTTTTTTTTTTTTTTTTTTTCTTTTTTTTTTTTTTTTTAATGGCAGTCGCTAGCCATTTTAGGCTTTAGCTACTGCTAAGGCCAAAAGCGGTGGTCATTTTATTATGGAGGCACCTAATAGGCAGCTATCGTTACCTCCTCTGAAGGGACAGTCAAGTTACATCCATGCCTTTTCCGGGATTCAAAACCTTGCCTTTTGGTACGGTAGTCAGAGTCACTAACCACTTTCCCGTCTGGGTGACCTGTTGGAAAAAGCATGCATTTAACTCCATTTATATAAATTTCTTGTTTTTCTTTTAACTCTTTTCTCTTGATTACTCTGATCGTGAAATTAAAGGTGCATGTGGCACATTGTCATCGTCCTGAAATGTTTTATTCCTTTATCGATACCTTCTCATTAGTAGCACTTGGATGCTTAAGCGTTTTGTTAAATTACATTTAATCATTAGTGCAATATTTACCGCTGGAGATAATTAGAATCAAGATGGAAACAAAGTATTTTCTTAACTAGGGCTTAATAAAATGTTTCCTGTGCTGTCGTGTTTCAATGAGATTAAATGTTTCCAAGCAGAAGAAAAACAATCCTCTCTCGTCTGAATTAACTACGTTTAGAAGGCATCTCTCATTACGTAAGTGCAAGATAAATATGTAGAAATATGTGGATAGGAACCGGAAAAGCGTACAAAGTTATACCAGTGAGTAACTGAGCTATTATGGGACTTTGATAAGGTGAGGTGATAACAAAGTGACGTATTAAGTAAGTATCAGAATTGACTACATAAATGCCCAATCTAAAAATTATTCATGAATACATTATATTTAGTTATCTGTATGATTAATGTGGGAATAAATTTTTAATGGGTTCTGATAGTTCTATCGAGGAAGAGCATAGCAGTGTGCAATATATTGGCAGAAAAACATTCCACTGCTTATTTTTTATACTTTTTCACAAAACCTGTGTGGATAAAGAGTAAAACAGTGGTCCAATGACATATTTCTAATTCTACGTATGGTTATTGATAAAAAACTGAGCACACGATTAGAAAGTTAATTTTTAACATAAATGAAATAAAGGCAAATATATTGAAAATCACGCAACGTCCTTGATGCATTAATTTATAAGCACACTTGCTGTGTTAAGGGATCCATCCAAGTAGAAATCATTGCCAGCGTGTTAAATGAAGTGTTGATCATAAAGTGTTAGATAATGAGGTTACTGGATTTTGTCATAAAGTTTGCTCGTATTTATCGCTTTATATTAAAAAAAGAATATTGTATGAATTTAGGATAATAATTCTATAATGCCTTTCATTTTCTCTTATTAATGCTGCTCTATACATATTTTCATTTAATTCCAGTAATATGTAGGTTATTTGAATATGGCAAAGCACACGAGAACTATCTGTCTAAGAGAAAGGACGCCTTCCTGGAGGATTTCTAAGGGAAACTGCTCAGTAATATGAATACTTAATTTAAACTATTGCTGCTAGTTATAGTTATGTAAGTTCTTACAAAGGGAGAGACATTTGTAAACATTAAAATTTTGTTTTTATGTTGTAGATTCACATTTGTATGTTGACAAATGGTTTAAACGTTTAGGTACAGAAAAGCATTGTGCATGGCGAAAGTAGAAAATGAAGTAATAAGACAAAATTTAATCGTATTAAAAAGTGATCGTATAAAATTAAAGTATATATATATTATAATATGCGCAGAGTTAACTGTATAAAATTAGAAATGTGTTACAAGTAGTTTCTGAATCTGAAGAAGTACAATTTGTTCTCATTTTTTTTAATATTTTGCACTGCGAATTTTTCTAAGTTCTTTAGCATGTTATACTTGGCTCTTTTTATTCTGTTAAAGCAAATAATAAATCCATTTATTGTATTCTTTAATCTATCGTAACTTAATAAGTGATGCTGATTTGTTTTCTGTGTAGCTCATTTTTGTAATTTATACTTTCTTCGTTTGTTTTAGTTGTTTTTAATGGTATAAAAATTAAAAACTAAAAGGCAGAATTATGCAATATATATATATATAGTAACTTAAATTAGATCAAACACAACTTCAAATTTGATCAGAATGATGCGTAAGAATGGGAATAAGTGAAACTGCTTGAGGAATTAGTTTTGCTGGAAGCATATTAATGCAAGTTGACATTAAAACAATCAGCTATGTCTGAAGCAAATGAAGAAAAATGTTAAACTGCAAAATGCAAAAGTGGGTAAGAGATGAGATACCTTTTTCTATCATGTGTTGATGAGATAGCAAGTGACAGGCAATTTGTATTATCGAAAGGGCTTTCATCTCTTACTACTTGCATTTTATAATTCAGTATTTTATCTTATTTTTGCTTCATATCATAATGGTTGTTTTATGTCACCTTGCATCGGTACGTTTCTAGCAACACTAAAATCTCGAGTAGCTTTTCTTATTCTAGCAACACTAAAATCTCGAGTAGCTTTACTATTCTAAGGACAATCATGCAAGCATTTTAGAGCATTCTTTCATTTCTTTGTTCACTTTAAATTTTATTATCAATTTCAATTTTTTATGAGCGAAAGGTACACATACACTCACATATAAAAATACATAAAAATATTATCTGAATTTATCGAAGGGTCAAGTATGGCATAATAACTGGTCAAAGCAAACATGCAAATGAATAAGAACTTTTAAATGAGAAAGTATCGAAGAGAGCTTCTTGCTCAGCAATTTAATGAGCCAATAGTCTGGCTTGAACTTCCTTTTCAGAGTGTTATGCGTCAATAATAATACATAAGGTATTTTTTTAGACATTTAGAAGGAAGTTGCTGAAGTACTTGGAACAGCTTTTTCTTAATGATTTGAGAAATACTTAAGCGAATTTAATTGAGTCCTTTATTATTCTTGTGATATTAACTCCTTCTTTTTAACACATACGAAACCATCAATATCTTTCAATGAGCAAATGAGGTATGCAGTTAATATATTTTATAATTCATCACGTTGCTTATCAACGCAATACGGAAAATAGTATGCTTTCGTGATAGCTAATGAAATAAAAATAGTTGTCACTCACCGGTGGATCAGGTGTAGTAGTATTTCCTATCCACGGTTCAGGACAACTATCGTCAACTTGGGAATCATTTCCTTGGATGAAAGCGGTATGGTTGACCATGGCCACAATGGTGACACTCAGACAAACTCGGTGGGCGAACTCCAGACTCATCGCCCAGAAGAGCAACAGAGTCAAAACATAGCGAGCTGGTAAGTAACCTGTAGATATAAAGAAAGCCTTTTTAAAGCTAAAAAAGAAATACCCACCTTAAGAGACGCTGCAGCATCAATCAATATACATGAAAAGCCCCTTGGCTTTTGACAAATTCTTTAAGAAATTCTAGTATAATCCATGTTAATGAAGTATAGAATATGCAAGAACAATTTTGTCCATTTCCTTCATTTGAAAAATATTAATAACTTCTGCGCAGACGTTACTTGGAGAAAAAGACGTAGTTAAAATTAAATAGCCTTTCTTAAAATCAATCATTTTTTTTATTTAAAAAATTTAGAACATTAGGAGACAAATATAATGAAGTTTTATTGATATTATAGATATAAAATATGATTTAACGCTTCTACAGATAGCACAAGTCGAACTATATTATGGTTTGCAGAAAGTTAAATAATTTAATTAAGCAATGAATAATAATCGTGAGTTATGAATCTGTCAAAGACAAAAAATTCATAGTTAAATTAGAGAACAACTTAACACATTTTAAACTTATGTCTAAAAATTGCATAATATGTAAAATCTTAGCAGCTGATCTCGCCAAACTCAGTTACTGGCAGGTATATTTTGCTGCCATAGCAACCTAGGTTCAGAAGTTCCAGGCCTGGGCCCCAGAAGTTAACTTTAAAATGACTAAAAACTTTAATATGTTTTTCTAATTCTTCAGAATCCTTTCTTTCTATTATAAAAATAAATAAAGTGAGCACTGATTAATGTTGTGTATACAATTCCAAACTTTTAGTCGGCCTGTAAAGAAATTAGCTAACTTAAAAAATTATACAATAGAAATAAATCTAGTTCTTTAGTCGCGCCCCAAATTTACAACTTAAAGCTATCCTTTTGCTTGCAGTACTGGAATGCTACGCGTATTTTCAGAGCTAGGTAATCAACACAAAACTTTAAAACATTTGGAATTCAACTGAAGGATTTGTTAAATTTTAACCATAACTCTCATTGAATCTTGAATGTTTAATATAACAACTTAAAGATACTTACCACTTCCACAAAGATTAAATTTTTAGGTTCACAGTACAAACTAAGTCAGCTTAGTCAGCGTGTGCTTAGGTATTGAATATAGAGATCGTAAGAAATATATTCGTATAACTCAGTTTTTGTGACTACTATATGGCCCATGATACTTTATTTTAAATACTAATTAAATTTTCATACTCAGAGTGGGCTGAATTGAAACATAAAAAGAAGAGAAAAGCAAAACTAAAAAAAAAAAAAATAAATAGTGTCTTAAAACATTGTCATGGCTGTTTACCTTCAACAAACGGTGGGAAGAAGCGGCACTCGTGGATGATGAATGATTTCCACTCCGTGTATGATTTCATTATCTGATGGGACGAAAGAGACCGAATTGTTTTTTCACGCGCAAAACGAGCTGTTGTTGCCTTTTCTTTCATTATCGTTCTGCCCCGTACTTCTAGAAAGTGTAAATAATGGAACGTTTGAAAAAAAAAATTATTGCGTAACGAATATACTGTTGCAGAGATAAAAAGGCGGGTAAGGCGGGTCATTGTCATGACGGTCTTTAGTCCGGGGTCATAATACGCCGCGTTCGTTGATTGCTAAATTTTCCGATGCAAATATAATGATCCTGCAAAGATAAACTCAGACGCCTCATTTGAAATGAATATATTGGATAGATAATTGTGGACACATTATACGGCTTTTTTATTATTTTACTATACCAAATTCACCTCAATAACAGTAAAGATTCTCTTGGGATTTATCATCCCACCTGCTTTAAAAAATATCATTACTGAAAGTAAAAATAAATGTTGTACAACCACAGAAAAATGAACAGAAACAGAGCTTTGATATTTGAGGGTAATTCTGAACACACTTTCAATTTAATGTGAATGCTAAATGCAAAATCAACACGCCCTACTAAACATTGGCTGGGCTCTAAGTAGCTAGACAGGTCTCAAGCCGATAAATTAAATTCAACAAGCAGTGATACTAAGCAGAATAATGTTCAGCCTCAGTTCTCTCTGTCTGTATTCAATATCTTATTCAAGAATTACAATATTTTATAGTATTCAAGAATTATTTATATTTTAACTAATTTGCATTTTGGTGGGAGTTGACGAAAGCAGAAGTGAAAGTATAGCCAAAATAACAAGATAACTGGGTTAAATAACATAAAACCTTACAACTTAAGAACTGTCTAAAATTTATTTTTTTTCAATTTTTGGATCACGTTATGTTATGTTACGTTACTAGAACATTAAACTGTCCCTTGAATTCAAAACCTTACAACTTAAAAACTGTTTAAAATTTAGTCTTTTCAGTTTTCGTAGCACGTTATGGTACGTTATGCTACTAAAACATTTAACTATTTCGTGAACGTGAAAATAACCCAGTCTGAGAGCTGTTACCGATTTTGTGGCAGATAATATTTCATTTACCTTTCACATTACAGCAGTGCCTAGCATCAAAATGGAAAACTGACAGATTTAAATTAATATACATTTTTCTTAATCATTTTTATCTCTGTTTAATTTGTTATCAGCTTTTGTATTTTACATAATCAGTAATGCGACTAAATGATTATGAATATGGGCCTTATTGATATAATAGTAAAGTGGTGTATATACTTATGTATAAATATTGTGTATTACTGTAGTCGCAAACATTTCCTGTATGAATAATTTGTCTCGCATTGAAATTCAAGTATAAATTGATAAACATGTTTTAAAGTAAACAAATCTAATTTTGTAATAGATTTTTAAGCTTCTTAAAAATGTTCGTTAAAGTATTTTTCTCTTGTAGCTGTTTCGTGAATTTCTCAGCATCTAAATGCCAGCAGGTGTAATTTCTTCCTTCTGTTTGTGAAAGAGCTGGTACAATGGTATCTAGATCACTTATATGAGGAATCTTGTGTAGATTTTCTGTATGCTTTCTAGAGTATTCACGACAGAGCTTTCACAAATTCAAAAAAATCGCCTTGGATTATGTGTAACTTTTGTGAATGAGTTTTATATGGTATTTTGAAGAAAAAAAACACTAATTTAAATATTTGTCGATCACTTATAGTTGCTGAAATTGAATTGTGATTTATATTAATTAATGAAATGTCAAAATAAGTAACTAAATGTATAAAACGACTGCTAGCAAATATTAGAGATAATTGTTATTTGATTTTCCTACAGCAATTAAAGAAGATAAATAATTCACAATATTATAATAGTGAATATTAGAAAAGAGTCATACAAACTTTTCTCGTGAAAGGCCATTTAATAAATTTTTCACAAAATTTGCAAGCCAAAGGCTGTTTTGTAAAAATGTTTAATTAAAAAAAAATAATAGAGGGTCAAAAAATTTAACATTTTTAGTTATTTTTCATCTTATTTTTCTCAACAAAGGCAATAAAAGCAAAAACATAAGAAATGGACCGCAATATTAGACGTCACTTTATTGCACTATACTAATACCACATAGTTTGTTGAAAACTTTACTTTTATTTTTAACTTCCTGAATTTTCTGAAATATTTAAATTCTAAAATAATATTAGTAAATACGGGGGATTAAAACCTTTGGAGGGTTGAAGTGAAGAAGGTCCTTTCGCATGTCTGTTCTCAAGGAAACTTAGCGGAAGATGGTAGTCAAAAATTGAGAGTGTGTGTATTGGCGCAAGTGAATGTTGACAACCTGAATACTCAAGTGAGATCACCAACCTGAATATTCAGATAATGAGAGATCATTATGGAACTATATTTTTTCAATACATCAATAAATGCACTTGAAGACTTTCTAACAATTTGTGGCATTCTAAAAAAAGCATTCTGCCAATCTGCGACTAATAGTTGCTATACAAAATAAACATTTTGAAAATAAAAAAAAAGTACTTGGTCTGCAAACATTTAAAATAGATACTCTAACAATATGAGGTGTCTAAAGTGTAGGTATTCTAACAGTCGCGATAATTATCATAAACATTCTGTTAATCTGCATTGTTTAAAACTAGCATTTTTCTAAGTGTGTAACATTTAAAACAAGTGTGTAACATTTGAAAGGTAAATGAAATTTTATTTACACTAGTCTGTGACATCTAAAAAACAAAAGATTCAGCCAAGAATGTTGTAAATTTTGATCTACTGGAATATTCAAATCAGTTAAAATTTGCAACAAAATGAAAATCTCAATTTTTTATATTCTTTTCAATTTTAGAATTTTTTGTTTTGATCGATTTTGTTGATTTTATTTGATGCTCAATTTGAAATTCTTTCAGAGGTTAGGTTGTAAGGATCTTAAGTTTTACTAACGTTTATTTTATTTTAAATCTTTACTATCACTTCTTATTTTCTACTTCCGGCCAGAATTATAAGCGTGAAGGTTTTTATGCAAAGTTTGTCTGGCGAACGCCAAGTATTTAAGTGTGGCCTTTTTGCGATAGCGAAAAGAGAGAGGAAGCAGTAAGTCAACGCAGGCCGCTTACCTTAGACGTTACGCAGTTGCTGTTTGCCTTCCAGGCCAGAGGTTTTAATCCTCTTGATAAACTTAAACGTATTGTAGTGTTCACAGTCTCTGTACTACATACGCTTCCTGTTATTATAAGGCCAATCTTCCACGTGTATTATTCTAAAGTTGAATTAGAGTTTAGTTTTATTTTTATACTTTTACGTTAGACCCCGAGTGGCGGGTCATTGTATTCCGAAGTACGGAAGTTATTGTATATAGAGAAAAATAAAGGGTTTTGTATACCCTTCGTCTGTATCCTGTCTACTTACTACAATTAGTGAACATAGCTTTAGTAAGCTCTCTGTACCTAGTCAGGTCCTTGTATGTTTCCGAAGAAGGTTAGAAGGAACATTGAACCTGATAAGGTTAGGTTATTTAATTACGGCAAAGCCTCGAGGGCTATCTGTCTAAGGGGAGGGATGCCTTCGTGGAGGACTTTCTAAGGGAAACTGACTCGTATACACGTTACACATGGAGAAAACCACGAAAACACCCATGGAGCCAGCCCGTTCGCGGGATTCGAACCTCGGACCGAACTACCAGTAATTCTTTCAGGGGGAAAAATAATATTTAACTGACACGAGTATTTAAAAACAATGGAATTACGATTGGTTTTTAAGTAATATTTCAAATGTTAGCTTTTGAGTTTTATATATAATTTTTGAGGTTCAAGAAGGGCAAAAATGAAATTAATCTCATTTGCAATAACACTCAAACTGGAAAAAACAGAATCTAAGTGAAAACACTATAAGAGAACAGAAAGGGATTAAAATAATAGAAATAAAAGCTTAAATAACAGATGAAAACGTTTTGTAAAGTATAGCATTGCTCGTCTACATTCAACCAGTGTAATACTAATTTCCTTTTTAGTTTTGCTTTGAATGGCAACAGCTGTAAAACATTATTATTTTGGTAGAATAAACTTGTTTGATTGTGTTTAAATTTTTGAGAGATTATTTAGGTAGAATTGAGTTGATGAATGAACAAAATGGTGTACATTTACTATCGTATCTAACATTTGGTGACCCTCAGTACGTGATTAAATATAAGAGGTGGGTACTTTATCTAAGAAATAATTAATTACATTTTTGGTTTTGGTTTGCAATGGACCTTCTTGTTAAGAAGCGATCTCCGTTACAAACATCGTTTACTAAGACATATAAAAGTTTAATGTCTCTGTTTGATGATGAAAATATAGAAATAAGTGATGTTAAGATTAAATTAGCTACTTTAGAACGCATTAGTGCTGGTTTAATGACTCTTGATAACGAAATTTTAGAACTTCCCTGTAAGTGCAAACGATAATGGTAAAGATTATTCTGATGAATTTGAATTTGTAGAAGAATATAAAGTCAAATCTGATAAAGCTATAGTTTACGTCAATTCTTTTATAGAAAGTAAATCACAGCCAAACAGGAATATATTAAGTAATGAGAAATCGAAAATAAGACTTCCCAAACTTGAACTAATGAAATTTAGCGGTTAAGTAAAGAATGTTTGTATTTCTGGAGTCAGTTTAAACGACTTCACGGTCATAAAGAAATGGAATTGGAAGAAAAATTCCAATATTTAATACAATGTATCTCGCCAGGTACAAGAACGAAAGAGATTATCGATATTTATCCACCTAAACGACAGAAAATTATTCAAAAGCGATTGAAAGCTTCAAAGCAAGATTTGACCGTGAGGAATTGTTAGTGGAATACTAGTATGTTCGTGAACTATTAACTCTAGTTGTTAAAAATGCTACCAAATCAAGGCTTAGTATCACTCAATTATAGGATAGACTTGAATCCCACCTCAGAGCTTTAGAATCCATTGGGATGACATCAGACAAATATTCTGCAGTACTCTTCCCCCTTGTAGAGTCGTGTATTCCAGAAGACGTGTTGAGAGTTTGGTTGAGAAACTCAGTAAATGAGAAATCATATAGTGTAAGACTAAGCCAAATTTTAAATTTTCTAAGGGCTGAGGTCGAAGGGGAAGAAAGAATAACTCTAGCAAAGTCAGGTAAGAAGCAAAGTGATCCCTATAAAAAAGTTTGTAAGGATAGTGAAGATATTACTATACTTACTGCAAGCAACTTGTTTTTGGGAGTAAAAGAAATAAATAAAAATAACGTTGTAAATTGTATTTTCTGTAAAAAAATTCATCAAAGCAAAGATTGCTACAAAGCACAAAATTCATGATGTTCATGATGATTCAAAATTCATGATGAGGAGGGAAGATATGAAGTAAATTACCATGGATACGTGGCAAAAATCTTCCTGAGTATAGAGATATAGCTGAAAGAAAACTAGAAAAAACAACAACTAAGTTAAAAATGGAAGGAAAATATCATGCATATAATAATGTGTTCGAGGAGTGGTTAAAAGAAAATATAATTGAAAAGGTACCACTTAAAGGACTATATAAATCTGGTTGCTACTTGCCACATAGAGGGAGTTTCAAGGAAAATTCAACAACTAAGGTTAGACCAGTTTTCGACGCATCAAATAGAAAGAAAGGATTTTCTTCTCTTAATGATTTTCTTGAAAAAGAACCTAACAACTTAGAATTGATACCGTCATTGTTAGTAAGATTTAGACAAAAAAGTATAGGTGTTATATCTAATATAAAAAGGGCTTTCTTACAGATAAGCATTGCCGAAGGAGATCGGGAGTATCTTCGATTTCTGTGGTGGAAGGATAGCGAGAGTAAAGAAATTCAAGTTTTTAGGCACCGTAGAGTAGTTTTCGGAGTTACCTGCAGTCCGTTTATTCTTGGAGCAGTCATTCGACATCATCTGGAAAGCACATGCATAGAAAGAAAAGAAATTGCAGAAAAGTTATTGAGATCATTTTATGTTGATAACTGCGTCACTTCATTGGACGCAGAAAGTGAAACTCAACATTTTATAGAAATTGCTTCACAGTTAATGCAAAATGCTAAATTTGAACTGAGAGGTTGAGAGTTTAACAATTTTAATATATCATCTTCAGAACTAGAAATATCTCAAGTCTTAGGAGTGATCCCTATAAAAAAGTTCGAAGAACTGACACTTTATCTTGTGAAGTTGATTTAAGAACTGAAATAATGGAACCGTTTATTCGAATAAAGTTACTTTCTATTGCAGAAAAAGTTTTTGATTCGATTGGGTTTTGTTGTTCTGTAACATTTTATCCCAAATTACTTCTTCAAGAAAGCTGGAAATCATGACTTGGTTGGGATGATGAACTGTCAAAAGATATAACTTTAAGAAGTTAAGAAGTTTAAGAAGTGGTTCAAGGATCTTCATCTCTTGAAATTGGTAGAAATTCCAAGACATATGTCAATAGAAAACTGTATATCTGCATACATTCTGTGATACATCTAAATTATCTTATTCAACTGTCATTCAACTGTCATTATCTTATTCAACTGATTTCTTGAGGAGTGAAGCTGAAAATCAAGTTTCAGTGCAACTGGTGATTGCTAAATCAAGAATCGCACCACTGAAAGCAATGTCAATTCCTAGACTAGAGTTAATGGCATGTACCATAGGCGTACGCCTTTCTGATATGGTGAAAAAGGCTTTAAGTATCCGAGACATTGAAGAATATTATTGGACAGATTCAACTTCAGTGTTATATTGGATAAATCATGATAATACATGGACTGTGTTTGTAAAAAACAGAGTTAAGGAAATTTGAAATCTCACAGATTGAACAAAGTGGCGACATGTACCAAGCACTGATAACCTATCGACTTGCCATCAAGAGGTTGTTCAGTGAAGAAATCAATAGAATCACATTGGAGGGAGGGTCCCCAGTGGCTAAAGTTGTCGGAAAAAGAATGGTCTCATTATACACCAAATGATGACGAAGAGAGCATTGAAACGGAAAAGCGATAGATAGTTCTAACAGTACATTGAATAATGTCAACGACCTTGTCTTCAAAAGTTGTTAGCTACTTTTCGAAGTACACAAAAATTTTGAGAATAATCAGGTGGATGTACAGGTAATTCCCGAAATTTACAAATTCGAAAATACAAAATTCCCGAAAGAAAAGTGAAGAAAGAGAGCATAGAGAGCTCAAAGTTCGTGAGCTAGAAATGGCAGAAAAATTTATAGTAAAGCTCATACAACTTGACTCCTTTTCTTTTGAAGATATTAAAAATTTAAAGTCTATCAGTGTGTTTAAGGATGAAGGAATTTTGCGAGTCAAGACAAAATTAACAGAGAGAAAAGTTTTAGAAAATTTTAAATAAAAAACATGTAGAAATGAGTTGATGAGTGGACAAAATGGTGTATATTTACTGTCGTATCTAACAAATTTAAAGATTACTAAAAAAGGAACGCCAGTTTTATTTGACATTCTTATTAACCAGAAAACAATTGCCGCTCATTTTGAGAAGCAAAACAACATTAGATCTTTCTTCTACATAATCAAAATAATTATCCAGATTTCTGGAAGAAATATTTTGATTCTGAGGAGGATAGCGATTTTCTCTTTCGAAATATAACGGGTTTTCTCATTTGATATTAGCAATAAACTAGGTTTGAATTTGCTACTCATTAAATGGCCACCAGAAAATAGTTCTTAATTACAATTTTTTCAATGTTTTTAATTGTTTGAACGATTGTCTTTTTCAGAGAAGGAAAAAAGCCCGTTTTGTTACTCTTTTATATCTTTTCTTAAAAATATTCATAAAGTAGCATAGGTATTTGTACTTACGTCAAATGAAAACGAAATATCTATTATACGAATTATTTGAACGATTTTTTTAGAAGAGGAAGAAAACCAGCTTTGTTACTCTTTATATCTTTTTTTAGATATAATTTATTTAAAAGTAACTTCGGTATTTGACTTACGCCAAATGAAAACAAAACATTCATATGGTGTTAAAAAAAGAAATAAAAGGAAAAGTATGTATTATGAAACAATACGAAAATGAGAATTTTATCAGTGCTGTTATCGTGATTTGCAAGTAATTTCAAAATTCGTGCGAAAGCAGGTGTGCGAGATTATCTCACCGGACTTTGTCGAGTTAGCAGGTTATTGTCGAGTCGCGTCTGGTTATTGAAGATCGAATTCGAGTTTGGGTTCAAGGCTTCGAACTGTTCTGGAATAAAAAATTTGATTGCGAATTGCGTAAGAACGCACATATGCACCTATGTATCTCTAACTTGCTTGACGTTTTAGTCCATAATGGTTTGAAATATAAATTTTGATGATTTAGAATTTCTTGCTGACTTAAAAATTTTTGTAATTAAATCCAACGTTTCTATATAATTCCGAAAAATTCATTTATTGGTAACCTTTCATTACCTTGAAATCATAACTTCCCCCCCCCCCAATTTTTTTTTTTTGCAAATCTAAGTGGCATAAGAACTTATACCCAAAATTATAAGTGTTCATTTCTTGTCACTTCAATAGAGTGAAATATTTAGAAGCAATATATATTTCTTAAAAGAATTTTGATCTTTTTTGATTTACTAATTTTACATTCAAAGAAGAAATACAGAAATCAATACTCGAGCGTTTAAAGAGCATAGTTATTTCCCGTTTATCAAAAAGCACAGATGTACAAAGTGCTGGATAAAATATAAAAATAAATGTAAAAAAATACAAGATGATTTTATGTCTATAAAATTAGAAAAATAAAATTTCGGTGTAAGAAAAATAAATTTATCCTCCAAATCGTATATCTCTATGCATTCCCTATATTTTGTGCCCGGGTTTATTTTAAAGCTTAAAAGCAACAATTTTCATTTACAAGTAAGAATTCAAAAGAAAAAGGCCTTTAATTCGTTTTCTTTTCAAAGCGAAAGAGGAATTTCAAGAATTTGAATTCCTCTCTGACAGTCAGATAAAACTGGAGGAAATCTTCTAGAGCCATTAGGTTTGTTTTAGAGTAGGAAACGAAAAATCTGCGATGCCTTGACCACGACTCGAACTTCGGACTTTCTGATAGTTAGTCAGACGTGCTTCTAATTATACTATGAAGGCACACGGTAAGGAAGGAGAACATTCTTTACATTCTCCCTGATTTGAAGGACGACTGGTCAAGGGAAGACCCAGTCGCCAAATCTTGGTGGTTGCGAATTATCGTCCGCCACATTTTAGTTTTGGCACTACTTATTAAGTTGTTTAGAATATATACCGGAGCAGTAAACATGAAAATTCAATGATGCCGTCACCGGAATTATAACTCTGGACTTTCCGATTGCTAATCGGACATGCTTCCAGTTATACTTTGAAGGTATGCGGTAAGAAAGGAGAAGATTACTTAAATTAATTTCAGTGATTTCAAGCATGTGTATTAATTTCAACCTTTCTCAAATCGATTTTTCAAATATTTTAAAGGTTTTCGTATTTATTAGTTGATTATCTACGTAACAAATAACTTGCTTAACTTCTTCAGTTTTCGAGTCTTATTGGTAGGAAAGAAACAAAATGAAGAAGCAGAAGAAAAGATGCATTTGTTTTGGACAACTGTTCTATCCCATCAATTTTTCTATAGCTAGGTTCAAACAAGTTGCTGCATTTGCGTGAAAGATCACTTCTAAGCTGCGATCCTTTAACTAGGGTATCATCTCATATTTTAATGTCTGTTACTGCATAACGTTCCGCTCATGTCCCCTCATCTTAGGTTCACGTCGCCGTTGTCGCATTCGCACATGCAGTAGAAATCTGCATGCTAAGCAAGAATTTTATAATTTTATTTTACAAAATAAATAAATAAATATTAGTATTTATTTCTATGCAGTTTTAATTTTCAGATCACGACACTTAAGATTCACGTTGCTGTTATTTTATTCCCAGTATCATTTCTTACTAAAACCGTTTGATGGTGCCGTGTTGGTTTATTCTTTAGAACAATATAGAACCTTTAGAATCTTTAAAGCAAAATATAAGTGTGCTCTTTATCAGTTTTTTGCCAATATTTCGGTAACGGTTGAAAGAAATTGGCCGAAGTGGATGTGATTTTCCGAAAGCTAATTTCCGAAAAAGGACAAAACTGATGACGAAGGTACCACTTCGTACATAAACCAATGAATGGCTCCCCATCCAACGGAGAATTCCCGTAAGCCCTATCACTTTCTACATATATTTGGGTGGAGCCTGAGAATGAGACTTCGAGTGTTTTTATTAATAATCCTCGCCGCCCGGGGTAGAACGGGTACTTCAGCTAGTATAATGTATAACAGCTTTAGAAACATCTTTTATTAATAACTGGATGCCAGTAATGCTTATAATTACAAATTTGTTATATTATACATTTTATCATTTAGATATACTATTGAAATAATAAATTAAGATTTAAATTATGAAGAAGTGCATGTATTTTTATTAAAGCTTTCTGTCTATTAAACGGTTATAATTTAAAAGTTAAAATAAAAGCTCTTACACAGCTCGAATGACAACACTCTGGATATTGAAAAACCAAATCGTACTGATGCCGCATTCGGAAAGAATAGCGAAAGCCCTTAGTTTCAGTTTGAGCCAGCTAAACTATAAATGTGTACAGTATTTTCCTAACATGATCATGCTAAAGTATCAGAATAAAACCCGAATTTAAAAAGGCTATCGCGTTATACTGAAATTGAAGATTTCCTCAATGAAGAACGCAAATTCTTTTATAATATTCGAAAAGATTATATTACATATGTGTTTAATAATAAGTTCTAAAAATCATTTTTAGAATTTCAGTTCAAAAACTATATATGTAAAAAGGAACAAAATAAAAAAAAAGTACAAAACTCAGTACACACTACATGAAAACTAACTATATAAATATTATTCATGCTTCTATTATATAGTATATTAAATTCATATTATGAACGCTTTACATGTTTATAAAATTGTGTTGGACGTTAGAAAATGCAAATCGTGCCATTTTTTTGGGTCATGTTACGTTATCACAGCTTTAATAGTTATCTCGTTCTCCCGAACTGTCACATCTGAGATCTGCTGCCATTCCTTCGG